GGCCATTGCAATAGTATTCAGTCCATGTGTTTAAATTCAACAGTTCGTAGTTTTATGCGTAAATATATCGTGATTTCTGTTCATGGGAATCATACTAATCGAGTATTTACTTCGAGTGTTTCAATTGGTTATAGCCTCCTGTTATAACTCTGCGAAATCTATCCTAAATCCGGTCATTAATAAGCACTATTTAATATTTCTTGATGCTTATCATTTCTGACATAGAATGTACGTACAATTGATGAAATGTATTTTAGATTATTTTAAAACCGAATAAGTTGATGGCATAAACAAATGACTATTGAGCGAGATTATAATTTATGGAAGGACCAGTCATGTTTACGACAACAGGTCTTAGATATTGGCGCAAAATCCGTTCCCACATTTGGCTAAATAGAGTCTTGGCATTAATAGCTGATGACAGTTCATGATGAAAACCCTGAATCTAATTCTTAACCCTAACTATCAACTGTAAATCATAATCCTTATTATTTAAACTGCTATATAACCCTCATTTAGCTCTAGTAAGTAGGTAGACACTCTCAAGGTCACTTTAGCGTTGCTCAAATGTCGTTCATAAATTATAGTCTCACGGACTACTGAATAATTATTTCTCAAAATATCACTCAAGTTATAATGTTTAATGTTTTAAAGATTCTTTCTTTACAGTTTGAACAGATGCTCAACCGATACCAGTAATATATTTTTACAAGTTACTTAAATTTGCAAACGTAGCATGAACCACATTTAAGTAGCTTGTGTCAATAACACTTAATATAACAGTAAAGAATGTTGATGTTTATATGAAGAAAAATCATGGAATGTATTGAAAAACTCAGTCATTATGTTTTAGACATGTTGTTATAAAATATTCCTCAAATGTGCTTATCTACCTACAACTTCATATACTACTACATTCAATAAAACACTAAATTATCTAAAATACTTATTTTTATTTTGGAAAATTATTATAAGCGAATGAATTGATACGTCGATAAACAGTACAGTAGAGTGAACAATAAAAATCGACAATAAATACAACTACACTTCCTAGTATCTTATGGCTTATTGCGTTCGCGGGAATATTAGAAGATAATACCATGTATATAACTTTAGAGATTTATTATCTAGTAGATGTATAACCCCTTTCAAAATCATATCTAACCAATACAAAGTACAAAACGAGATGAAACACAATGTAATAAATAATGATGTTTGGTATAAAGTGATAAATACAAACTATCCAATAAGATTATTCATATGATGCAGCAATATATAACAGAAGATGAAATGAATAAACTTTCATCTCACTAATTTTTGTTTATTTATTTAAACACAAAAACATTGGTACAATGAGACACCAAATACATATGCGCCACACAAATCACTCGGTTTCTGTGAGGGCTACAATACTGTCCGGGTGCTCAAACCGAGACAGGTGGTTTTCTTAGGAGGTCACTATCCGAGCCCTTGACCTGGAGGTCTAATCCACAAGGCAGTGGAGCAACATTAGGAGATGCAGTCCCACGGTAGCCAGTGACCAACAGTAGGTTTATACTCCATTTGTTCCTTAAAGATCCTGGAGCCCATGTGCACCATTAGTTTAGAATCAGGGTTTGTCACTCCCCTAAGTTGATTCTCCATATCCACCAACCCGGTTAAAGCGCCAGACATTCGTTTTCCGTCATTCCAATTTCGTAAACAATAGTAATACCACGAGAAGGTAGTGAGTAGGAATTCCCTGGCAGTGGTTGTATACACGTGGCCATATGAGAGCATTTGGAAGCGGAGAGCTGATTCTCCCCACTCTTTGCCGTACCAAAGCATTTAGGGGCATCTCACTAATTGAAAAACTCAAGGTGTTGAAATTGAATTAAGCCATTTTTCTTTTCATAAATGAACTTGAATTAATTAGATTTTCTTCACGAAATATTGAAAATGTACCTGAAATCTTTTGATTATTTCAACTTTACAGAATTATATTTCAGTTAACGGAATAAAAATCAGTTAGATTCAGTTACCTAATATTCCATAAAGGTACTTATTAAATTGAGAGCATTTGATAGACAACTTATGAAGTGTTCAATTAATTTGAAGATGATTATAAATATAACTAGGAATATATCATGCCACGATTAGAATTTTAAGGTTAATAATTGGTTCAATGTTAAGTGGGCTTTGAAATCAGGTGAGGAAAAATAAAAAAGAACAAATAGTTTGGCTGTTATTTTGCTTAAGTACATGAATTTTAACCGGCAACGCAATTTGTATGTTTAAATCCATTCTTCCACTTGTTTATTGTGGATTTACTAAGTTGGACACCAATCAGTATCGCTTAGATAATTACATATATCTTCTCTATAACTTCTTTATTGATATAGGAAAACGAAACAATGTTCAGTTAAATGGAGTTCAACACCATTAAACTTCTGGGTTCCTCATGTTCTTATTTCTTTATCATAAAGTGAACATTTTCAATTTGTGCTAGTGGAAAACTTTGATTAAATTTAAATAACTTAACTAAGAAACCATTTGCAAATCAGAATAATCATCAACACTATACGTCGACCATGCATATTGATCAACTTTTCACACATTAGTTCATCCTACGTCAAATATTTACAGAGATTGGTACTAAACTACAGTGAAACATTTGTCTCTTGTCCCATAGTTTTTAGCGGTTGTCTAGCCAACATCAGTTTCTAATGACAATCGCCTTGAAAGCATATTATTTTATGATATATAGTGCAAGAAGGTTTTTCATCACGAACCAATATCAGGTGTGGAATCATTGAAAATCATGGAGACCTCAATAGGCATTTCGAATTAGTAGGAAAGTGTATCTGAAGTCTACTAGTCACAATTTCTTACTAGAGCCTCACTAACATTGATTAATTTCAGTCATTATTGAGGAGACGATAGTTTATTTGAGTGGAGTAGTTCCAAGATGTAACAAAACGAATGTCTAACATCATCTGGTTTTCAATGGCTTCCTAAATGAAATCAGTTTGCTTCGAAATACATCTGATAGTAAACTACTCTTTATAATAGATATAAATCTCAGTGTTGCTTTAATGAATGGTTTTGGGTCACATATACAATTTCTGACTTTAAGAATATATGATTACAATACCAAACTTACTTCAGAAAATAATAAAAGATTTTATTTCCAGCCAATTTCGAGAAATCATTACTACAAAACGTGTCTAAGGTGAAGGGTGCATAATTTGACCTTATGAGATAATCGTCATTGATCAAGTAAATACTATTCTCTCACGCTTAAAAAAAAGTAATAATATTAACTTATGTCATAGTTTCTTTCTAAGTCTTATTGCTTTAACCTAATATTCAGAATATTTCACTGAAGAAACTTAATAATCTTTCATATTTTTGTAAATTCGATGCATTATTTTCCTAGCATTTCGATTTTTGAATGGTTAGGGGACTTAATCGTCAGTCAATGTGGTGATTTATTGAGTTCCACTTCAACAATTCGAGTTAATTTAGTCACATTATAACACTTCAGTCATTACGTAATCTTTTCTAGTCAAAGTTAAATATACAAGCTTATATACACGTCAGATAATTTACATTAATTAGGTTTCAAACAAATTTTTTTTGATTGAGATCATGAACCGATTGGTGTTAGATCACCATTGAAAACCTGAAAGCACTGGACGGACGTTTCGTCCTATTGTGGGACTCCTCAGAAGTGCGCATCCATGATCCCACTCGCGGAGTTCGAACCTAGGGTCCTCAGTCTCGACAACCCTTATATTGATAATAACCATGTGCTCACTAGTGACTAGCTCCATGATGGTATTCTCAGAGTTTTACTTAAGAGCCGTGACCAGTGGAGCTTATCCATGTCGATTAGAGACAGGTATCTACCTTAGTGCAATGTAAGATGATCGCGCAACTTCGTAGATTTGTTGAAGTTAGACATTAACACCATCGGATGTCGGCCAGCCCAGTGATCCAGTATGTTAAGCATTCGCGCGCGAGATTGAAGACCTTGAGTTCGGATCCCGCGGACGGGATCATGGATGTGCACTGCTGAGGAGTCGCACAATAGGGCGAAACAGTCATCCAGTGCTTTCAGGTTTTCACTGGTGATTTAACATCAATCGGTTCAAGATCTCAATCAATAAATTAATAATCTCCACAATCCCTATACTGATAAGCTTTTTTTATTCTATTGTCTGCATTCAGCTTTTACAAATTATATTACAACTTCTAAATAATTTTCATTACGAACTGTCAATAATTAATTAAAAAAATTAAAAAACTAGACACACATTATTGAATAGGTAATCTGTATATAACTGCAGTTGATAACTTGACGTGATGAGGATCAATTTTAAGATTATTATTATTAGCTATTAGAATTGGGGAAAAATTTATTATACTTATCACATAAATGTTAGTTTTTGTAACTCACCTACCGCTATGGTAGTCAAAATCATGAGTCCTAAAAACAAAGTTTATGGAGTTTACATTTTGTTCACACACACAGAAGAAAAGAAATCAGCATTCAGTAGCCGAATTATCAATTAACGAATAAATGTATAGTAACCCTTGTTATTTTTTTCGAAAAGTTTCATTGCCATTCATCTAACTTTAAACTGTGTAGAATAGTGTAAATGTAAATATATACATAGAGAGAGTAAATGATATAATCTTCTTAACCGACCACATTCCATCAAATAATACACATAGACGTGTTTTAAGGGACAGAAAACAAAACAAAAATAAAGGAAACCATCATTTTAAAATCATTCAGACAGAAAAACTGTAAACAAAAAATACAAACATAAATTTAGGTCACTTCAATAAGTAACTTATCACAGTAACAATTATTAAAATTCAGGTTTCTGTCCTCTTCCTTGTCATCATGTAACTATAAATATGTCTGTTAAATATGATTCATTGATGTATTGAATAAATTCGAATAACTACATAATTGTTAATGTCGTTTATTTCTATACTCTTTAACATAGGATATTTCTAAAAACTTAACTAATAATACACTAAATCCTTTACAACAACAATGGGGAAATCTTACAACTAATATTAATAAAGCTTGTAATCAAAGAGAACAATTTACAACGGATGATCTTGAATATCAATACATACGTTGGTTAAAAAGTATTGAAGATTCAGCAAACACTGTAAGTTCTAATTTATTATTATTTTTATTTCTAATTTTATGAATGTCTTATTATTCATAGTGATTTTGTTACTGACAGTGATGGTAACACTTCGAATACATTAAAATGTTTGTCCAATGAAATTATGCAATATAATGTAAGCTCACTTCAAGTCAAATACTATTTTAATATCATTAACAAAGTCCAGGATGCGCGTTTCGCCCTATTTGGGACTGGATATACCTACATCTCAGAGAGTTGATGTTCACTCTAGGACTCGAACCTAGTATCATTCGTTTCAAATGCCATTGCGTTATCCACTCAGCTACTGAGTCCTGATAGCCACTTGCTTGTGCAACGGGATGAATTTGAATTCACTTGCTATTGTTTGGCAGGTACGTGCAGCTGACGAGTCCCAAATAGGGCGAAACGCGCGTCCTGGATTCCACTGCTAGCCACTATCCATCACTGCTTACAAATAGCTTTTGAATTAAGGTAATATCGAGGCATACGCACAGTATGCACGTATGCCAATAACAGACTGATCAATTGCAGTCTTAAACCTCAATGGGAAGATACAAGCCAAACAATACCAAGTGAATTCATTAACAAAGTATTGTGTGTTTTAACAAAACTGAAACTCAATGTGAGCTATTACGGGTAAATATAGATTCAATATTCAAAATATTAAAATCAAACTTCATAAATTAGTAGTATAAAAATGAAAATGTGTTGTGTAGTAAATAAATAAAATCACGTGATCACTAGTGGTAAGCTGTTACCATTGCAATTCAACAGTATTACAAAAGATGTGGCAATTACCCACTAACAGCAACGAATGATGGTCACGTAAAATCTTGAACTGACTGGATTTAAAAATGTGAATCGCCAGATTCTAACTCAGTGATTGACGTTTAAACGCTTACCACGAGATATGAAGGTCTTGGATTCGATCCTAAGTGGAGTTGTGGATGCATTTTGCTGATAAGTCCAGACTAGAACAAAATACTTAACTACTGTTTCTTGGTTTTCATCATGGACTTCATGATAAAAAAAGCATGAGTTTTTAAGTGTTTTAGCCGAATTTATGATAAACGGCTTCATTTTTAATAATAAATATATTTTCGTTATAACTCGATAAATAGGAAAATTGTATTTTTGACGTTTCGTGAGTTAATGTAAGCCACTTCTCCATAGTAAATAAATAACCGAAATTACAGAGCATTTCACTAACATCTGAGCACTATATAGTAAATAGTCAATTTACAAAATATCGATCCATCGTCGCAAATTTGACTGTTACTTTGCAAATATCAGTCCATTGTCTCAGATTTCATTGTTCATGCATTTTCATACCAATTGCGTTCTGTTTCCGTTCTTTCATTATCGATCTTCTACTGAAATACATTCTATGCCTGACCACCGTTATACACTACTTATGTAGATATAAGTAACCCACACCACAATATTTCAAACTTTGCAACAATTTTTATAGTACAAATGATGATACCGATCATCTGTCTTACGAACAATATTGTATTTGACTAAAATGTTGCATAACATTTTGATTATTCTTGAATATTGTTCATTTGCTTTGATGTTTCACATTGTAAACAACTATTCAGAGAGGATAATAAAATGAATTATAACTGAAGAAAAATTTAGGTTTGACGCTTGTAATTTTTATACTTACAGTGTTGATATTTTGGACAATGTCTACCTGATTAAACAATGTCGCAAAACTATGCGTCTAAATCTTAAGGTTGATAATCACATTAGTAATTACCACATAAAAATACAAACTTTCAGCATATTGCCCTTAAATTCCGATAGCCAACGAATTGATCGTTAAACGGATATTTTATATTTATGCTAACATGATATAGTCAAATTCTCATTTAAATATCAACTACAAGAGAATGAATCCCCTTACAATTGTTAGTGTTATTTATAAAGGTTAGACTTATTCATTCTAAATAAACTAAACACTAGATAGATTGTTCATAACAAGAAAGTATATTTTTGAAGTCCTAATGAGTAGAAAGTAGATTTCTGATGCTTTATGTAAGACAATTCTACGGAGAATAAAAATTAATTAAATTAACAGAAGTTCTAATTGTATCAAAGAAAGAAATTAGGTTATTTTCAGTACGATCAAAATCAAACTATTTCTGATCATGTCAATATTTTAGTCAGGGTTACTTTTATTATGTGATATATAGCTGAATATAATTGTCTTTGTGTTATTGAATTGGGAAAGATGAGATATATATATTGTAAAAAAATAAGATTGAGAATATATTTGAATGTTTTTTAGTGGTGTGAGATGTGAAGAGAATCCATTGGGTGGATAATTGAATAAATGATCCATACTGGAAGGGTTGTAAGGCCTTGTTTTCTGTACGTAGGATTCAGAAATATATAAAAAGATTTCGTCACTTGTCATTATTTGTAGTTTGAAAATCCTTTTCGAGGTATTTTAATGTTAATTATATCGATTTGATAGTTGTTAAAAATGTCATGTACTGTTGTTGTTGATTTGAGCTGAAAATATTTGAGTTCTACAGGATTGTTTGGAGGTCATAAAGTGTAGCCTTACAATTGTTATTTTTGACAGAACAAGTTTTATAACAAGAAAAATGGAATACATTTTAGTATAATCTTACATAAAGTATATTTCACATTGTGAGTCTATATGTGTTTGGTAATGGGTTCTGTGAGCTTCACTAACAGCTGATGATGTTACCTGGAAAAACACTGAAAGGTCCGATAATATTACATCCATCTTTTACAACACTACATCACCAAAAGTATCCTCTTGAGCTGCAAAGCAACTACAACCATGGTTGGAATCAAACCCTGTGACTAACTCATTTTATTTTCTCTAAATTTCGAAATAATACATACCGATGAATCCCATTGTTAAAAAGTTATCTACATTTATATTGATGACATCATTTATTATTTTTTTGGTACTTTAGTTAAAGCCTACTGAATTAGATGAAAATCCTGCTAATATATTTACTCAAAATAATTACATGTACATAGAATCATCAGCAAATGATGAAAATGACATTTCTAAACATCAGACCAAATCACAATGTTCAACAGAACACAGTTTTAATCCTGTCTCCTTACCTAATGTAAACAATACATCATCATTAAAAACATCTACACAAGTAGATAATAATAATAACAGTTCATCGGTAAGTTACTTTATTCCATCAAGCTTTTAATTTTTTTACTTTTAATTTTACACTACTAACAAATGATTTATAAGTAACTTACGATCTTATATACTTAATATGAATCACAATATCCTTTAGAATGATGGATAAAATTAAGAACTTGCTATTCTGAAGTACGGTTTAACTCTTATAACTCATTGATCATTTACCTTACTGTAAGGAAATACCAATAGTTTAACACTCATTTAATAAAATTTCAATTAAATATTCAGCTATGAAATTAAATGTCTGAAAGCTACAAAACTAGTTTTATTTTTTTCTATTTTTCACTAATCAATGAAGCCCTATATACCATTCTAAATGAACTTATGCTGATCCATAAATTTAAAGTCATATCATCTACTATCATTGTCACATAATCCGTAATTAGTTGCTATAGATTGGAGATCCTAAGTGTATTTATCCATTTGAAGTGTCGTAGCCTTTTGTAATAATCCACTGTAATCTTTATATTTTAAACTAAATTATTATCATCTAAACAACTTTAAGGTGTAAAGTCTCTTACATTGTCTTAATATAACTGAAATTATTAGACACCATGTTTTTCATTGATGTTTTATTGCATTTTAGTCTTTGCATAGAATCAATCAGCTAAAATGTAAATCTGTTTGTTATATAATAATCTAGTTGAATAATGGATGGGATAAACGAAATATGGGAAAAGTAAGACAGAGAGAACAAAAGTGAACTAAATTAAAGGATATTTTCTTCTTTATTCTTCATTGATCATTTCATGATTCCATCAAAGTTTTGATTTTTATTTACTACACTTATTGCCTAATTTTGACTAACTTAGTGCATGTTCTTTTAAAATCATATTCAATGGTTTGAATTGTTTATTCAATCTGAAAAAGAGTATTCCAACTTCACTGATTTGTCATTTGGTTTTTCTTTAGACAAATTTCGTTAATCAATATTGTACATATATGCATTTCAATTTAACTTTATGTTATAAATATGTATGATTGCCAACTTATACTAGACAAGAGTTGATCAATAACTACGACTGTTGTTATATATATATATATATATATATATATATATATATATATATATATATATATATATATATATATGCATTGGTCACAATTACACTTGATTGACACTTGCAATAATGAAAAATGGCTTAGATCCACTCTTGGAGGGAAATTTCATTTTCTATAAAGTGAGTATTTAGTAGGTGTTTTTAATTGTGGTGTCAGTTACGATGCTAAGCACATATTACTTATTCTAGCTTCTGAACAGACAAATCTATTCGTTCCTCTTGAGTCAGGTTTTGACCTTATTAATTAGTCACTTATCAATCCTGATTGTTTTTATATGAGCATTTGTGTGTGCACTTCTTATTCTAATCAATCACATATCTGTAACCTATTTTTATCTGGCTATAAATATGGATTAACGCTTGATTAAATCGAGTTGGTTCACATACCTTCTCCACTGTGTGTTATTTTGCTTTGTTTTCTTCTCTTCGTCCCTCTGATTGTTTGTTCAAATCAATGTGTGCAAAATATACGCATTCAAAAACTGGCTTATTTAATTCCATTATTCACTAACGCGGATTTATTCGATAATTATATACGAGGATTGGCGACATGTATATTTCAACAACAATCACCATACGATCTAAATGGAGTCCGATTTAGGGCTACTAAACAATGCAATCCGGTTGTAAATAAGGGTAATTTTGAGGCATCCGTATTTAGATGTTAAGATGCTAACAGAGATCAGTCAGATTCCGTCTTAAACATCAAGGAACATGAAATGTAAACAATTACAGTGAATACAAAATTAGCCACGTTACATTGAATTTTGACTCAATAGTACTCGATATCATGTTTTTCTCTAGGACTTAGTGCTGATAGAATTAAATTGATCATCCTGGAATATGATCACCATTAAATAACTCAGTGGTAAAGTCACAGACTGTGACATTTGGTAAGATAATTCAAATTCTTCATGAAGTTTCAGTTCTCGAATTTTAGGTACGTCCTGTTGATCAGTAACAAATAATACGATATTTGAATTTAAAATTTCTTCACATTAGTTCCCTCCAACCATCTAATAACACACTGTATTAACTTACAAAACAAGCCTACATTTGCCTATTCTCCGATTGTCTCAGTTAGTCCACGTTACACTCTATGTAGTATTATCGTACATTTTCGGTTTAAACTTATACGACTTTAGTCTGAGTATAATAATTGTTCACCGCGCTGAGATGAAGTAGATTTCAGTTAAAATAAAACCGAAATCTATTGAAAACTCCAATAAGTCTCTTCCATAAAGAAGTTAGAACCTTCCAATACCCGATATTAGATTGATATGCAGAAATCAGTGTGAAAAGAAACCCAGGAGATTAGAAGAGAAATGGCAGCATCGTCATTAGCAAAAAATGGTCTTATATTGGTGAGTTACTAAAATCACGAAAAACAAAGGCATTTTGTTCATGTGTTTTTACAATTACCCGTTCGAGGAGACTGAATAACTGGCTATTTGTATTAATCTTATGGTTCTTTTATTTTAAATCCATAAACCTATCTGAATGGTACAAATATTAATGTTCAACACTATCTCTATGCTCTATATTTATTTTAACGAAGGAGACTAAACGAAACTTATTATTGGAACATTTAATGATTCAGAGACAGAGACTGGCTACCGCGGACGCTTCAGTTGCATTGCTTGCGAAGAGATTAATGCTGGTAAATTTCCCTAGTTTCTAAATTCTCACTGGTATTATTTACAAATACTGTTTTATAGGTAAAATAGGTCTTTTTAATTAAATAGCCTAATTAAGTCACTTCTTATATGTGTTGTCTTCTATGAAAAGTCAAGATGAGCAGTTTGATAGTCGGTGTGTAATAGCGATTATATTTAAAATCGATCGTTAACCAATTTTTGTTTGGTTAAACGAATTAACTTGCAACATAACTTTCTTAATTAGTTACATGAACCTTATAACCAGTTACTAGACATCATACTCGGAGAGCGTAACTTATTATTGCTTAAAGAAATAGTATGCTACTAACAACAAAATTCAGTAGTTTAATACAAATCTCTTATCAGTATCGAGTTGTGGTGATTGTTGAGTTATAAGTGAGATCATGAAATGATCAATGTTAGAAAACGATTGAAAACATGGAAGCACTGAACGGCCACTTCGTCCCATTGCATGACTACTCCGCAGTGCGCACCCACAGACCCCCACGTGAGATTCCAACTCAGGACCTTCAGTCGCACACGTAAGCGTCTAACCCCTAGGTTGCTGAGCCGATATCCAACCGTGCTGTTGTCTAACTTCAACCAATCCACGATATTGAGAGACCATCTTCCACTGTCTTCAGTGGGCAACTGCCTCACACCCAATACGATTGAACTCCACTGGTCTTGGCTTATCGCTGAAACTCCGAGTATCCCCTCTCGAAGCTAGTCACTAGTGAGCACATGGTAATTATCTCTTAATTATGTTTGAATTACCTTTGTAATTCATTTAGCTCAACACAAGTCCTAAAGTTCAACAGAACAACACAGAAGAGAAAGCAATATATAAGCGAAAAGTTTCCTACCCTGGTAATTCTTTAGAGCAGAATATATCAACATTTGACCAACTGATAGACAATCAACAAGCCCTAACGTACTCAATGACTCCAAATGTTCTTCGGAACTCTAAAATGATCGGTGGCACTGTCAATTCAACAATTCATAGTGAATATTCCACTGATAGTATATTTCAGTCTCAATTACCCAATAGTTCAGTAGATGATATCCTAACCCATGGACATTCACCAAAACCCAAATTTACAGGTAAGACACACATTACAAAAATGTTTTTGAACAGAATGTTATATTTAATGATGATGAATCTATCAAGTTTTGGTAGCCAGGATTTTTATGGTTGTTTGCACACAGTCGATTATCATATATCGATAACTTACTATCTTGGATATAAATCTTTTTTTGTATTACTGTCCTCTTTATCCAAAGTTGTATATGATTATTATTTGAAATCATGGTGAAAGTTGACCATTGTCAATTAATACTGCCTCAGTAAAATGAAACGTATTACTGTACTTGATATTAGAACATACAAAAAGGAAACCTAACACTAAGTGTCGAAGTCCAGCATTGCAACATACTTTTTCTTAAGTCTAATCATATAGAGGTTAATCAAGTATAATTGGAATGAAGCACACTTCTTTCGATTTGGAATCCAACAACTGGATGTACCTGTAACCCAACGTTCATAATCCTACTATGAGCGTAATAAGTTTAAATGACGACTATTAAAAAGAATGATAAGTGTGTCCAGGATCCCACCGTTAGCCACAAACTGAATGTACTAAGGCATATGACAAGCGTCATAGCGAGACAATCAATTCAAGATGTATATATGCCAACAGAGACTGATCATTTGCAGTTCTGGATAAAAATATAACATTATCAGTACGGTTGTGTTTTATAAAAACATATATAATCAGGGAATAATTGTACTTCAAGAACGGTTTACACACAATGGAAATAATCATTGTTAAGTGAAGACCTCTAAATAAGGTTGTGGATTTTCGACAAAAATGATAATCTTATTTGATGCAGATATTTGGTAATGCATCCAAGCATTATTGAAAAATTAAAAAGGTTTCCAACAAACTTCTTTATAATACTTTGAAACGATTCATGTTCTTAATTGTAATGAATGAATGAACGTTAGTAAAACATATCTTATAATGGAGAAGAAAATTAAGGATAATCCATAAGATATAAAAAGTAATGCCATAAATGAACCAATGTTAGACCACCATTGAAAACCTAGAAGCATTGGATGGCCGTTTCATCCTATTATGGGACTCCTCAACAGTGCGCATCCACGATCCCGCCCGCGAACGCCTAACCTACTAGACAACTGAACTGGCCAGCATCCAACGGTTTTAACTACAGTGATAATTACCGTGTGCTCACTAACGACTAGCTTCGTGAGGTAATTGTCGGAGTTCTAGTGAAAAGCCGTGACCAGTGGAGCTTATCCGTGTCGAGTAGAGACAGGTATCTACCTCAGTACAATGGAAGATGGTCGCTCAATTTTGTGGATTGGTTGAGATAAAACATTGACACCGTTAGATGCCAGCCAGCTCAGTGGTCTAGTAAGTTAAGCGTTCGCGCGCGAGACTGAAGACTCTGAGTTCGAATCCCGCGAGCGGAATCGTGGTTGCGCACTGCTGAGTCTCACAATACGGCGAAACGATCATCCAGTGCTTCCAGGTTTTCACTGGTGGTCTAAAATCGATCGGTTCAAGATCTTAATCGATAAATTAATTGCTTAAGTTATAACACTATGAATGTGGTAACTAGAGAGAAGAGTTGAACTAGGATAATACAAACTTTCAGTGTTTTTTTTTATTATTTTGAATAGTGTTAGGACGGATTTCGTCAGAGGTGAAGGCAGACTGATAAAAAACCAAGGACCATCGAACTGTTTAGTTATGAACACTCATAAACTCACACAGGGTAAAATGTAAAACCTCCAAGCCTGTCTAAGTACGATAGAACTGTGACTGATTTGAAATCCAATAATTTGTATTTCCCGTTTCAATCAACGAGAATTTTCTACAGTGTCAAATGTGATATCAGCCTCAATCTCGATATGATTGGACTTATTTAACCACAACTTCCCACCGGAACTTACAAAACGTTTTTCTAGAAACTAGTGACTTTTGAACACATAACTACGATATCAAGGTAGAGAGATTTGTACAGACTGTTGGTCAGTTTCATCACAAATAAACAATAACTTAGTTCCTTTACCTAATTTCATTGATGTTCAAAGTATCGTTTGAAAAAGATGTATTAATTCAGTTTCCTTCAAACAATTTAATTGAATAAAATATTTTCTTTCACTCTTAATAAATTACACTGATCTACATGATTTGTTTGATTGATTTTTATTCTTTGAAGGTTGGCAAAAATCTAGTACAATCGAACGAATAAATAGTTCAAGTGCTCAATATCTTTTAGATTCTCCACGACTTAACAATAGCAATAATACTACTACTACCAAATCAACTAATATTACACAAAAATCTAAGGAAATGCCAACGAATAATATGAATAATAATATTAGCAAAAATGAATTGAATAATTTACATCAAGATGGTGATTTATCAGTTCCTAATGTTGAACGAAGGAGATTGCCAACACCTATTCGCGGCGATTTATCGGTATGGAATGTGAAAAATTATTTACATAAAAATCCTCGTAAGTTATATATATATATACAAAAAATTTGTGATACAATAACGATGTACGGAAACCATATGGTAGCAATCCAATTTCAACATTACCATTTAAACGACTAAATACAAATCATCCATTAACATTTAATCTGATCTGATATGATTACGTAACAAAGCGTGATTACATTAAATGTCTAAACTTGAGTGGTTCTTTACATTGCCTTGAAATTTTTGTACATTAAGAATTCATCACTAAGAATGAAACAAAATGTAAATACATGATCTACTAATTTCCCAGCGTTTATAATTAGTTTCCCAATAAAAAAAACCCAGTCCTTTTCGGTATAGAAACTCAACTGTACGTGTACAGATGAACCTTTCTATAAATCATCTGTATTGTTGTAGTGAACAAAAACACCAGTCAGAGCAATCGGATATATTGGACACGAAAATACAGAGCATCTCAATAAAATCTGAGAAGCATATAGTAAATAGTCGATTTACAAAATATCAATCCGTCGTCACAAATTTGACTGTTACTTTGCAAATATCAGTCCATTGTCTCAGATTTCATTCTTTATGCATTTTCATACCAATTGCGTTCTGTTTCCGTTCTTTCCTTATCGATCTTCTACTGAAATACATTCTATGCCTGACCACCGTTATATACTACTTATATAGTTATAAGTAACCCACACCGCACCAATAAATAATTTCATAAATAGTTCCACTTTATACTCACTTTCCCTGTGATAAATGCATCTGTGCATACACTTATACATCTCACTTTAAATCAAACATTCTGAAGTCCAAATTAGCTATGAAAAACCAGACTCTAAAATACATTGTACACAATTACATCACTGAGCACAGGGATACGTTGAATAATGAAACTGCTTAAAAAAATCAGTGGAATAGAAACACGTACAAAGTTCTACATGCTCTTTGGATTTGTCAATGTTTTTATTTAACTTTTCAACCTTAAAATCAAATTATTTTAAGTGTAGATAACTCCCACTGTTTGACTCTCAGGACTATGACTTTATTCGTTGTTCATTTGTGCACTCTTCATTGACTCAATAAGTCATTGGTTTAGTGAAACTGTATTCATATACAGTGATATTGTGGTCATATTTATTTACTTGGATAATTCAGTGAAGGGACGAAGGTTATCAAAACTATGTGATATATTTGCGCAATACATTTTGAACAATCTGACCACACATGTACTTGTTAAGAAATTATATATAGAAAAACAAAAGGTCAATTAGACAAGTGGGAGGTAAGAGGAAACAAAGACAATAATCAAAAACAGAAAACCAAACAGGATAATAAGTATCACCGGGATAGGTTAAGGGTAAGAAAAGGTTGGTTTTAAACATATAAAGGAAGTTTCAGTCTTCGTATACATAAGGCTTCAATAATCTTTGGCACAAACTCTTCATCATTTCTACTCAGCACTACAAAGACTATCTTGATATCAACCCTATAATCCGTCTCAGCTAAATGTTCCGCAATGGAGGAAGATATTTATTTGTCTTGTGATCTTATTCAACGATTGAGCTTCATTTGTTCTGGTGTCCATTTAAGTATGAGTTCAACTATCCTTAGATGCAGATCACCAATGCTCCTACCTATGTTCATGTTTCAACATATACGTGTAAAGTGATAGACGCAAATGCGATGAGATACAATCGTTTACGTGATGTTTAGGTTTTTTGTTAAAACATAGATATTGACTTTTTGATAATAATGAGTTGGGATGTGTAAAATGTCTTACTGATAGTTCATTTAAGTCTTCGCTTTAACATAAAAATATTTGAGTCATATTTGTAATATAGGTACACTATTTGGATTTAAAACGCGTAGAAGGTCTCATTATATTACTGTCTTTGCATCGGTTGATAAACTTCAATGAACAACCATTATTCACCAATGTTTCATTTAAGTTTTATGTCTCAGTGCAGATACGATTGATCTTATTGAATAACGCCTTTATTAACCTGGATTGAACAGTGACTATAAAAATTAAGATATTGCCCTATGTTTACTATATATATGTGGGTATATGCATTGTCTGTGGAGAAACCTATAGATTTACTTTCCCTGACCTCATTTGTTTTGATAGCAAGACATAGTATTACTATTACTTTCTGTACACTTCAGTTAGAGAAACTCAACTCAATGGACTAAATGGAACACATTCTCCGGGAGACGTATACATTTATTGAATGGAGCTCTGGTAGATTAAAGGGTATAGAATCCTGAAGAGTCACATACTTAAACAAAATAGATGTGCAGTTTATTCTGGTTGTCTAACCGAATTCACACAGTGATGGAAACTGTATTCACATATCCAAATAACTTATCAATAAATTTTTAAAAATGCTAAAATGTCGCAGGGTGAACATTAACTCTGAGATGCAGGCACACCCAGCTGACGAGTCCCAAATAGGACGAAACGTGCGTCCTGGATTCCACTGCTAGCCACTATCTATCTTTGCATGTAATGCTAAAATATTGTGTCAGAGTTTTCAGACAAATTAATGTTCCATAAACATCTCGATATGGTCAGCTTATTGAACAGACGAAAATAAGTTAAACATATATAAATAATGTAAAGCAAATTTAGTGCACAATAAGACCTTCTATTCAAATCGACAGACAAAAATAACCTTTTAAGAATTAAAATATTAAAGATCTGAAAAGGGCAAGTTGTCTAACAAACTGACAAGTTAATGAGAAGAGAACATATCAGACAGCGCAATATACCGATTAAGAACATTCTACTTGATATGAATTTTTCAGTAAATTAATGACACAGTTGCTTTCGAGCATAGATTATCTAAGTAACAAGTCGGTTAGTCATAATTAAATTAGAACTTGGCACATATATACATTGTCCCAAGTTGTCATGCCACTTCAACACAGCAAGATGAAATCAACAAGATGTACATCAAGTCAAAATAATACTGGGACCTTTAATAAAATTAGACTGAAATTTCGGTATTTTCAACTTTAGCGAATGTCGAATGCCAAGTATTCACAACGTTTATTATGTTTACCAAATATATAATAAAACACAAAGAATCAAAGGCTTGATACGTAAAGTATTTAAGAGTATAAAAAGTATTTATTTCCCTGGAAAACCATTAATTTTACAATACTACATTTTTGAATAAAATAACATTTTAGAGTTTACAAAACTTGCTTCAGAAAATGGTTATATCGAATTAGCTAACGCCAGTTCTTCTCCAACCAATGATGAAGATTATACAAATCGATTGTTGTATGGAATATCAAAAACTCAGCTACCTAGCCGACGATATTTTAATACTAATTCATCGAATAATTCTATGACAGGATTTTTAACTCCTATTAACTGTTCATTTTTATCGACAACAACACAACAATCATCACCCACGACAATAACAACACAACCATTATTATATAATGAGAAACATTTGACCGGAAAGCCACTATTGAATCACAGACCAGCACCACCAACACAACAAAGCCAACTAAAACCAGTACCTCCTCTTCCACCAAAACCAAATCAAATCAATATGCAAACATCTATTGAAGCAACACAAGAACATCTCAGCGCTGAAGATGAAGAAGTCTACAAATTTATGTCACGTTCGCTTGATGCTAATGAAGAAACGAATTTAGATTTTCAAGTGAGTCTCCATCTAATATGAACTAATCAGTTTGTATTCTGTAAAATATTTTGAAAAAGAGGGAACTAGACATGGTTACTATTATTAAATGTTTTAGTTTAACCACATATTTCTCAAAAATTCACATCATTATTAGTGATGATTTGTATCACTTAGCTTAAAAATTACCTTTTGTTCAAACATTGTAATTTAAAAATAAGAGATTTTGGAATCATAATTTTCGATTTTAGATCATATTAGCAAGATACCATAGTCAAAGGAAACAGACTAATAATAACACTGAAATAAAAGACTGTTGATATCTCAAGATTGAGTAGGTAGATGGACAAGGAGTTTGTTAATTTCAAAGTTACTCACGCATCAGTGTTCACTAGGAGAATACGTCGATCATGTTTCTAGTGAATTAAAGCGTAAATATGATCAGACAAGTTAATCTTCATCCAACAACTAGTCTTATGCTTTTTCAGAAAATCAATTGGTATAGATTAATTGAACAAAGGTAAATAAAGATAAATATAACATATTTTCCGTTCAATTGAAATAACTCATGAATAACCTCATTACAGCAGGTGAATACCCATCGAAACAAATTACTCTTATACCTTTTAACTATGTAGAAAATTAATGTTCAGTTTTCTATATTATTAAACCTCAAGTACATTGTTAGATTTTTATTTAATCCAGATGATATTTTTAATCCCTTGCTAATGGTTTAGTGTTTTAAAGTTTTCTAATACTTACAACTATGAATGAGATCCTAACTTCGTTCTACCTACCATGCATCATGTAACCGGATACTATTAATATCTGTTATACTAAAATTTCGTCTCATTGTTAGATATACCAACCTAAACTTGGTTAGAGAGTCACAAGGGATAATCAGTAAAACATTCCCACTGAAGCAGTTAATCCATTACATCTAAAGGTTCAGATCTTAATTATTTTTCGTTAATGACAAAGCTAATTCAAAATTTAGCACATTTTCGAACAAACAATACGTGAAATATGTGACTAGTTTAGAGATATTTTCACTACTCAGTGATATTATATGGAAGTCTACCACAGTTTAGATGTATTTCACTCTAATATATTAATTCTTAGTTGTGCAAGTTTGAAATCAAAGTCTATAGGTCTTGTAAGAAGAATATCATATGTTGATCGGTTTCTAGGGACGTGTAATTGTCTTCTCATTTGAGAACTTATGATGCTATCATCTTTAAGTGGACAGACATTTTCTCTCCATTTATGATACCACTGCATCATGAAAACAAGCTCTAAATTAAGTAATCTTTATGTAAAAACCATTTTAGTGATAGTAACCAGCAGACTTTTATTTGAAATTATATTTCCTCAAAATCTAAAGAAGACCCATGATCTGTAGAGTCTAGCAAATTGGGATTGGTCACCAATACTAATCAACCAAACTTTATCATGAATTAGCCTGTACCGAATAATGTACATTGTTAGATTGATTTCATTCCCGGTAGGAAGGTTGGTGTGCTAGAGACTTCATACACGATATGCATTGATGAGAGGAGTTCAAAACTAGGACAGAACAAATGTTTAATACTTTCTTTTTTTGATATACCTATATTTTTATTGAATATCAGCTCGTTATTGTGAATCATCTCTCCTCCTCTTGACAGTCTTTTCCATTTGCTTCAATTTTGACCAGTCATTAGCTATGAATTAAAAACAGATACCTAATTAGAAATATATATATCATTTTATACACCTAAACAGCCTTTAAATCGAAATCTGACCGATTCCAAACAAAGACCTTTACCACCGCCATATTATGTGAATATAAATGACACAAATAATGAAAAATTATTAAATCAAAGAAAATTATTTCCACATAAAATATCAAGAACAATGAATAATAAAACTAGTCAATTATTAAAACAAACTATAACATTGAATCATGAATCGCATATACTCACTGGATCATTAACATCTTTAAATGATACAACTAAAGAAGTGGAAGAAGAAAGAGAAGAGGAAAGTAACAATCGATTATTGAATCCATCAACAAAAAGTAGAAAATCATTAAATTCAATTGAGAAAATGAAAAATCAACTAGAAGTAAATCAAGTAAGAAGTCTGTTTGTTTATTATAGAAAGGCTCATATATAATAATGGTGTTTTTCAGGGGATACAAATTATAAACTAATTTGAAACCTTCTATACATTATATTATTATTAATTCAGTGAACTAACTTTAAGAATTCAATCCAGTGAGTTCTAATTGACCTCAAGGAATTGATATATGTTTGAAGTTGACAACCTGTACGTGTTTCAGCGCTTAGGTGTACATCAATACTACGTAGTTGAATTTAATCTCGTTAATGGGAATAATCGAAATGTGAAGTAGATTACTTCTAACGTGCACAAATTCTTATTTTGTGTTTAACAAATAGGTTTACTAATAAATAAGCAGAGTACTTACAGATTCAATGATAATGAGTTTTTTGAAAACAGCTTAATTCATGAAGGTAGAGAATGGGAATGCGTATTAACTAATTACGAAAAACTCAATTTTTATTGCCAAAACGTGAATGTCGGTCAAACGATATGCTAATGAAACAGGTGATAACATGCTACACGTAGTTAATGTGTGAAAAAATAACTGATGCTTTCATACCTTCTATAAATATACGATCTATTAGAGACGCATGAAACTACAAAACGCTCAGTTTGTCAGAAATCGAAATGAATCAAATACCGTGGTACGAAGTGTCGGGGAGCTCATACTGGAAAGCGCTAACTGAATTCAGAAACAGATAAACGCCCGTTTATCTATGTTATCTATATATATTTATTTCCATTTTTTAAACTTGATAATTGATATGTAATAAGAGTTTCCCGTGTTTACGAAATCCTTCTTTGTAACCTATGGCTCCATATTTCGCACATTTGTGATAGATAGACAGAAACAACAGAAACTTCATGCTCCACAATCCCAAAAACTAATGAGAGGCTTTAGAGAACGACCTATATTAGAATTTTGAACATAAGACATACGATTTGAGCAAGGAAATCTTTGCAAAACATGATTTTAAACATTAAGATCAATGATACGATCCGAGAACAAAATCTAGCGAGAACCAAATGAAACATGATCTGTTGTGACACTAGACATACTACTAGGATTTGGACATTCTGTAATACTATTTGAGCAAGAAATTCTCAGTGAGTCAAATGAACCATCATTTATAGAGCTAAAAAAATATGACCTGAGAGATCAAGAGTTGGACATTTTTTAGATTATTAATACATCTATATTCGTTATTAAAATCTATCAGTGTTAGATTGAGATCTTGTTTTATTGTGCTTACGATTTAGTACGCACTGCATAATGACCAAGGTAGAGTATGAAACAAAATCATCGCCTAGCTTATTAGCAGTCTTAAAACAGCTATAACGCAAAATAACATTTGAATAGTAAAACTGTTGGTTATTTTTCGTAAAATAACATAGAAGACAAATAAAATACAAACTTTAATAGCTTCATATCCTCTATATTAGAAGCATAATTTAACCAAGACTGTAATACATTTAACTAGCTGAATATGCTGAAAGTATTTTCCATATAGATTCAGATAAAACAGAACGAACTTTGAAATAGAATGATTGAATTAATACTACTAGAACAAATTCAATAAAAACCATTGGTATAAGATAGCAATTGTTACAACGAGAGTAATTGGACTTAAACAATATGCAAGTTCACTTGATAAAATGTCCGAGGAAAGTCAAATTCAAATTTTTTTATAATATCTACTCGATATTTCTTCATTTTTATTAACCAATGCATATGCATAAAATTGACCACTCGATTAAATAGAAAGCTTTACAGAAGTTATGGAGGCAGGCATAGTGACAGTGTGAACGTCTGTTAAAATTACAAACAATAAATCTTTTAACGTGAATAATATTACATTGTTGACATTATGGTATATCGTATATCAAGTAATATACCCTAAATCTTTTAAATATCTTGTTGGCTTTTGGAATACATCAACTGAATCTGAAATTACTTACAAGAAAGGAATATGTACAGCTTTGAGATCCATTCTGAATCAGTCTACCTATTTTCTTTAACATTTCACATTTACAATATTTCATTGCCATTCGTTTAATTATTTTTCCTTTGGTATTTCATCACGCTCATCTGACTATGCTTCGCAATTGGTTTCATGTTAATACAATCAGCCAACCTTAATGATTTAAATATTTGAAATAAAATTTAACTCAGACATAGAGATTATTGAGAATTCGATCAAAAAAACCTAACTTATCCGCTAAAATATATTAAGTTTGCTGGTGAGACTATAATTTATGGGCGACATTTGAGCAACGCTAGACTGACCTTGAGTGTTCACCAAATGAAGGTTATAAACATGTGTAATGAATTAGAATTATGATTTACAGTTGATGGTTAAGATTAGGAATTAAGTTTAGGGTTTTCATCACAAACCGACGTTAGCTACAATGCCAAGACGATATTTAGCCAAACGGATGAGTGAATTTGGCGTCAAAACTACGAGACCTATTATCTTATACCTGATTGGTTAGTCCATAAAGTATAATCTCTCCAGTTTGCTTTTCAAATGAATCTTCTTAGTGAACTGGTCAAACTACGATGCGAAGAATTCAGAAAGATTATATTCCTACAAAATAATTTTTCAATTCTATTCTTACTATCAAAATAATAAGAACTATCGGTAATTAGCTAATGATCATCAAGTGATATTTTGTCTCACCTTAAAAATAAACACCAGCGTTATTTCGTAAACGTTTAAAACGGATTACATATAAATGCAAACACTGAAGATATTCAAAACAGAACTGAAAAGTGTTTCTTTTTTATTTGAAAAACTAGGCGCACAAAATTAAACGATATATCAAACAAAAGTCAGACTACTCATTTAATTTAAGAGAGTACTTACAAAATCTTCATCATCCAATTAATGAGTTAGCCATAGAAACATCTGATGCAACTGTATTGCCTGAACAACACGGAGGAATATGCCTTACAAGTTTACTTGGTAATTGGCTTACATCAAGAACTACTCGAGCACAAAAAACACCAACAGTTGATGAATCATTGGATTATTTCCAGTGTAAGATTATTTTAACCAGTAGAATATGTGGTGGTTATCTATGGATTATGAAAAAGCCGAATCGTCAACGAAATAATAACAATAATAATATATGGGATTCAATAATGCGTCGAGTACATGATACATCATCTAATCAACTAACTAATACAGATAATGAAAAGCATAATAAACGAATCATAATACGTAGTTCAAACAATGCAAGATGGTGTCGTAAATGGTTGTCATGTGATATGTTAGAACAAAAGATATTCATATGTGAAAGAAAAGGATGTGGACGAATTGAATGTAAGATTTTAATGTTCTATCATTATATAATTTAGAAATAATTTGGTTTGAAATTGATCTTACTTGTTAGTAGTAGAGTTTTAGTTTTGAAATAACTTCAGTATAATTGATTCAAACCTGTGTTATCAAGAAAAAACAACACCAAACAAATGAGCTTTCATTTTGTTAATGTAAATATTTTACATGAGAAAGTAGAGAGATAAATCAAAGCTCTAATATATGGTGTGATCATTTAAGGTAATATGTTAAAATCGTATGCTAACTAAGATCACTCAAAAGATAAGCATAAAATGGAAAGATATATGATAGAAAGCGTTTAAGGTAGAAATCAACATTTTTAATCATTTACCAATGAAATGGGAATTTTGTTTACTCCCAAATTTGATATGTATAACTATGTAATGAGAACGACTTAATTGAACAATTTACGCTGTTAGAGGGCCAATCAGCACATACCATTTGATCACTTTTCACTGAAACTTTAGATTGCTTAGAAATGTAAATAAATAGTGGTGTTTATCCTATATACAAAATTTTCAGTCATATTCTAAGCTTCACATTTTGATATTTCATGGCTCAGTGAGATTGAAGTCCTGGAAGTTTCGACCATATTTGTTGTTGGTTCACGTATTATCAGGAGAAATCTATTTTGGTCATCACATTTAAAATCTGCTTAGCCAGATAAACTAACGACAATATCGGTGTTATTATTTGACAATATCAGTCACAATAACAATACTGTGATGACATTAAATTTATTTTTAATAAGAGGGATAGGTTCACATGTGGTAGATTTACTTATAAATCTTTTACTTCAGGTTCAAGATTGCTCAACTTTCACCAAAGTGATTGTTTTTATACGTTTACATTTCATCACAGTTTGCTAATAACATAGTGCATTACTTTCAAACTAATATAAAACGATAAGCCCTAAGTTCGAAATCATCCTCTCATCTGGTCGGTATCACTACTTGTTAAATAACAAAATTGATGATTTCAATTAGCTATTTGTATCCCCAAGATTTTATTCGATTATTTATACTATACTATTTCATTTATTATGGTATGGAGATTTTGCAAGATTTAAGATAGTTGTCATCACGAATAAATATAACCCAAACAGAGACAACAGAGCACTGGACTAGTGCATCACCTTGTTTTAGACTACTGCGTGTGCACTTCTAAAGAATCTGGAACTAGAATGAAAACAACTGTCCAGTGATCCATAAATTTCTACTGTTTCTTAGTGTCAATTACTCTGACACTGTTTCTTAATGGTCTAAAACATTATTTTATGTATTTAACAATTTTTTTCACATATTTCCTCATCGATTTAGGTACAATAAACTTTACAACAATTAAAGATATACATCAAAGTAGTACAGATCAATTATTAGATTGTCAAAAGTCTTGTTCCTTATCGCCTAGAATATCTCAGAAAACTTCTTCAACATTAGTAAACACAAATACTAGTAATATTAATACTACTGCCAATAATAATAATCGTCAGGTTAAAAGTTCTACTCAACAAGATAAACATACTACTATTTTGGATACTGATGAAGAACAAAAACAAAATTCATTGATAATAAAAAAATCAATTACAAACAATACTATGACAACAACAAAAAACTGTACAGAGAAAACAGAAACATTATTTTGTTTAGAGACAACACTACATACATATTTTTTAATGGCTCCATCCTCTGAATTGACCAGATTATGGATTGATGTTTTAAAACAAGGTAAGTTCATGTATCAACTATAACAGTTAAACTTTCAATCAGTAAATTTACTTACTTACTTACGCCTGTTACTCCCAATGGAGCATAGGCCGCCGACCAGTATTCTCCAACCCACTCTATCCTGGGCCTTCTTTTCTAGTTCCATCCAATTCTTGTTCATTTTTCTCATGTCTATTTCCATTTCTCGGCGTAATGTGTTCTTCTTTGGTCTTCCTCTTTTCCTTTGGCATTGAGGATTCCATGTGAGGGCTTGTCTTGTGACGCAGTTGGGTGCTTTCCTCAATGTGTGTCCTATCCACTTCCAGCGCTTCTTCCTAATTTCTTCCTCCTCTGGGATCTGGTTTGTTCTTTCCCACAGTACGTTGTTGCTAATAATGTCCGGCCAACGGATCCGAAGTATTTTGCGTAGACCACTAATTTTAATAAATCATATATTTTCTTTCTACAATAAAATAGTCATTATATCATGACTTAAATTAAAACTAAGATTTACTTAATAAGTTCACTTTCATAACATAGTTTCTAAGTTATATTATATAAAAGACTTATGAAACTTAAAATATAATAATCATTAGAAAGAAATATGATGAAGTAATTATATGGACAAGATGGTATATTTTATGCAAACCTACAAATAAAATAATCTATATAGAAATCTGCCGATAACATCTCCAAAATATTTGATTTTTATGTGTGTGTGTGTGTGCGTGTGGAAAATATCTAGCAAACTTGTAATCTCAGAAGGGATTTTGTGGATATTATAGTAATTTTTAATGGTTGAGATCATGAAACAATTGATATTAATCAACATATGCTTACTGGTGGCGGTCTCCAAGAGGGATCGCATGGAGGTCTGGCGAGAAGCAGTAACCAGTAGAGTTCAACCGGGTCTGTTGTGAAATAGTAACTCACTGAAGACAATGGTGGATGTGTCGTTCAATTTCGTGGATTAGTTGAAGTTAGACATTACCACCATTGGATGCCGGTCCAATGGTCTAATGGTTAAGCGCTCGCGCGCGAGATCGATAGGTTCTGGGTCAGAATGTCGCGAGGGGGGACCGTGGATATGCACTGTTGACGGGTCCCACAATAGTACGAACCGGCCGTCCAGTGCTTCGAGGTTTTCCATGGTAGTCTAGCTTCAATGGGCTCGTGATCTCGACTATTAAAAAACTTGTAATTGATGAACTAACTTTAAATAAGCTTTCGTTTTTTAGAAGTAAGATTGAACTTGTTAACTGGAAAATATCAGTACTCAATGTAATAACGCTATAAACCAATGACAAGATTGTAGGGGATATTGTTATATCTTTAGCTTGTATGATTATTGCAAAATACGATTGCCAATATAGATACGCTGACTTATACGACCAAGCTAATGACACATACACAGTACAAGCAACCTAGAGTTCCGATTGATCCTTTATCCACCTAGTCTTGCTTGTTAATTCTAAAGCGCTAGTCTCAGCCTCCGCGATACGAGTCATATATTTCAAATATACTTGGTTTATATACAAGCCAAATCATACCACATCGTACCAGAAATAGAAAATAACAAGCCAAAAGTGGTTATGATAATGAGAAACTGTTACTAATAAATTGGAATAGAAGAATAGTAGATCGTATGATAATAGTCAATAGGTCAAGTAAAAGTCTATGATGAAAGGAATATATAATATGGTCACTTCATAGTTATACAATAAGAATAAATGCATAATATTAGTTTTCAAGTAATTACTAGAGGATACCATTCATTTATTCTCGTCCGGATATAACAGATATATTGATGTTAAGAGAATTAACAGTAGGACTTTTCTTGCCTGACCTGTTTTACTTGAATGAAAATAGATTTGAATCTAACACCCATTATCCAGGTTTTCAACGGTGGTCTAAGATTGATCAATTTCTGATTTCAACAACATTATTTTGTAGTTAGCCGTATGAATCACTCATCTATAGTCTTAAAATTAAAGCAATAAATTACTGAATAATCCACTTGGTCTATCTAACATTCGGATCCCACTTTGATTTCAGTAGTCAACTATTATTATTTGAAGTGTAGCACAAAATCAAGTGAAGGAACTTGTATTTTAATTAGCGAGTGATATCAATTTACTTGAATGTTCACTTTGAGAAACAGATTAAAAGCCGAAATATCAGTCATTAGCATGTGCTTTTTTTATAGTAGTACACATCAAATCAGCTCCATTGAGAATTTGAAGATACATTCATCAAAGACTACGATGAGTTGAAGAACCATTGTAAGCCCAAATCCTCATTTAAATTTGGAATTTATTACTACTATGAATCCACAATGCAGTGAGCATATGTTCAGATGTACAAATATAGTTTATGGCCAAAATAGAGAGATGAATATCTAATGCCTTAGAAACTTCAACTTTACAATATATATTTAAAAAAACTGATATTGAAACAATAAATACATGGGTAGACATAAAAGCAAAAAACATTTCTAAAGATTATCCTAATTTTTAAAACAAATGGAACAATCTTATTAATAATATTCGATAATCATCAATCGATTAAATGATCAATTTTGAAGTTTCTAAACACTACGGGACTAAATAGTTGCTGTATTAGATCGATTAACAATCAATGGAATCTGATCTTTTTTTCAGATCTATAATCAAAGTAAAGAATAAAACAAATTTAAAAGTACCAAATCTTTAGTCAAACATTTCCTACTGATCAAACTAATTGAGATAAATGGATAATACTGCACATAATATTGTAAATAAGTTATTCATTAGTGAATTAGCTTTACTATGCTATCTAGCTAGATCATATGTGCCGAGTGGATATTGAGCCAAGTAAACTGGTTAAGGAATAAGTTATAAATGATATTAAATGTCACGACCTAACCTATAAGTATTTTTAGCTATGAGGCTTGGAATTATTGTTATACATTAATTAGGACTCTATCACCTCGAAGATGTAAATAAGAATTAAAACCTTCGTTCCAAAGAAATACTACAAATAATACCTTTTCTAACTGGAATATTATTACTGACTAATATCCAAGGTCATAATGCCCATTATCCTATTTGTCACTGGTAATCCACTTATTACGATGCTTTTTGCTGTCAATAAAATAAATTCAAAACCATATCACTCAGCATCTTCAAATAATGGTTGCAGATACAGTGCAAGCCATAACCGGGTCGTTCGCAGCTACCTAAATGACTCACTCAAATTATCGATAATCTCATGGATTATTACAAAATCGAGGTCTACCCGACCCTAGCATCCTTCCAACCTTATCTATTCACCAAGATTTCTAATTCCGTGCTGAGATTACGCCAGACACCAATCCACCATGACTTGAGATTTCTAAGACTGATTTATTTAAACAAATAAACATTCGTACAAGGAGGCACCAAATATATATGCACCACACTTCGTCATCCGATTTGTGTGAGAGCTGAAATACTGTCCGAGAGCCCAAACTTCCAAAATAGGTGAATCGGTCGATTTGCTCAGCTACTTCACTTCCTATGATCAATTCAGATCATTCTTGAAGCAAAACTCTGCATTCGGAGGGGGAGAGTTGCCCATCAATTATGTTTAGAATATTGCTCAAGGTAATCAGACCACTTTGAATTTTGTCAGTCTTCAACAAGCAGGACAATCTGTGTATTTTAAGTTAACACGTAAATCTTTCGGTAGGACATCAATCTCCGAAAAGTCAAAGGCCAAAATCATTACCATTAAAAGAACGTCATTGAAAAAGTTTAATAAAATTGGGGAAGTTGGTGACCCCGAAGAACAGCACTTTGTTACCCGTCCTGATGACGTATCCGCCATACGCTCTAGATTGCCCGGCAGTAGGGAACCTTCATAAGGTTCATGAACTTTTTTGATACCCCTTTTGATGGGAGATGCTTCCAAAAAAACATAAAGTCAAAAAATATAAATACAGTCAGGATTAGGTAGAAATGTGTGTCCTTCAGTACCAGAAGAACAGTGAATAATCGATTAGCACATCTACATCTGAAACTAGACTATTTGTCCCTAGTTTGCTAGTTACGAGCAATAGTTGAGTGTTGAATGATTATTGAGGCTAATAGTCTAGACACTATTATTCAAATTGATGCCTATGTGGTTATATGAAGCTCTCTACACTTTCTTATAAACTAGAACGATTAGCTACAAAGACCGGTCAGGTGAGATCTTATCTAGTATCTTATCAATCTAACTGCTAAAACTGAACCACCATCCTTAAAGATCTCCAGGTTCAATTTATCAGGGCCTGCTGCCCTACCGATCTTAAATAAGCTATAGCCTTTTTAATTTCATGATGAGCCAGAAGACTTATGTTGATATCCAACTTATGTTGTGCTGTAACAGACAGTGACTAGAAGGTAGATATAGACTCGTTAGACTGTTCGTCAGTCTTTCGCCTATCGCATTAACTGTCTGAGCTGAGATCGGATCATGGTCTCAACTTTTACAGACATGATCTCACTAACAATCACCCGTTATAATTACCTTTGAGCATTTTAGCTTTTTTAAGGAGATTGGAAAGCTTTCTATAACACCTTTTTCATCCAAACTAGAGTCAGTAGAAGCATATGCAGCGACTACGACACAAGTATTGTTTCTAAACCATTGTCCTCCAATGTTTAATATTTCTCATTATCGTTAATAATAATATTTCAACTCATTTGCTATTCATCTCATTAATTTCATCTAGTTGTCCCGAAATTATATGTCAACTCGGGCTGACGCACACTTACGCCGAACTCTACCTCAATGATGACTGAAAAACGTTCCTAATAACCACTAGGTTGAAAGTTTTCGTTCCGCTAAAATTGTTTCGGTTGAGGTAGACGAATAGTATCAGTAGTTCCTAAACAACTAAAATTTGTCACAAACTGGAGCACATAAATACGTGTATTTGATAAATGAATCACATTAATAAAAGGTGAGTAATTGAAAAAAACCCAGAAAGAATGATACTATGGTAAGAGAAAAAACAACAAGTGATTTCCTCAGCTATACTTTTTCCCATGTTTATTTATTTTTGGTTTGACTACTACAGCAATGAGAATGGTTTCCAATTCTACTTTCATAAATAATGGTTAACATTATCATCATCCCCACCATCATTATAATTAGTTCAGAAGAGGAGTGAGAAGTAGGATAATCGTCGAATAAGAAAAAGTTGAACTCAATCTCAAAGGATACTCAAACAATACTGTATAAACTTACGATATATTTTATAACTTTATCATTACTAAACTAGACAAAACTACCTTCACACTACAATGAATTACTTATATTTATTTGTAAAAAGTAAAACATTATTCGTATACTCCATAATATTGTTATTAGTTTATATTAAGTTTATTTTATAAATTACTTTTATGATAGAAAGTCTTTTCTTCGCATACAATACCAAATTGATTCTTCCGTTGTTGTTCCGTACGACAAGTGATTGTGTGTAAAATACATTTTTTTCATGAAATAACATATTTTATGGAAAAATCCTTAAAAAACAGACAAAAAAATGAACTGAGAGGTGACATTTGTTGAGTATGTTTTAGTTCTCAACGATTCTTTAATTCCTGATAAAAATTCTAGTTATATGAATCAAAATAATGCAGATACACATGAACAGTGTGATTACTCAATCATTTACATTATTTATTGTTTATTTTAACACATAGATATTGGTACAAGGGAAGCACCAGATACATATGTGCCACACAGATCTCATTTGATATATGTGAGGGCTGTGATACTGCCCGGGTGCCCAAACCGAAGCATATGATCTTCTTGGAGGGCCGCGCCCGGAGCCTTTGACCCAAAATTCTGATCCACAAGACAGTGGAGCATCGTAAGGATATGCAGTCCTATGGTAGCCGGTGACCAACGATTGGTTCCTACGCCATTTGTTCGTTCACGATACTCGAGCCTATGTGCACCATTGGTTTGAAATCATGGTTTTGCAACTCTCCTAGGTGGACTCTCCATGTCCATAAACGGGTTAAAGCGCCGGACATTCGCTTTTCGTCCTCTCAATTTCATAGACAATACCCCTGCCGCGAGAAGGCAGTGAGTAGGACTTCCCTGGCAGAGGCTATATATGCGTGGTCATGTGAGGGCATTTCGAGAGGGAGAACGAACTCTCCTCACTCGGCCATACCAGGGCGTTAAGAGGCATTTACATAATGAGTTTTCTATAATAATATTGTTTATAATTAGAGGGGGAGAACAAGATACAGTTTGGATTATTGTTGAGACATACCTTACAATCAAATCTATATAGTGTTAAACATGCACAGTAAAACATAATATAATAATAAATAAATGATATGAGTTCATAACGTGATTTACTGATTTCAATAAACTATATACTACTAATCTGAGTTTACTTTAAACAAAACATTTCTCGAACAGCATCATTTTACAATGAAATTATCATAATACGGCAGGGAATAATCAATTTATCAGTATAGGAATTTGCAGAGATTGTAGTATTTTTACAATTAAATTCGCAAATTGATCTAAGCTAGACTATCAGTGAAAACATGAGAGCACTAGACAGCCGTTTTGTCCTAGTATAGGACTCCTCAATGGTCTAGATGTTAAGCGTTCGCATGCGAGACCGAAGGTCCTAGGTTCGAGTCCCACGTGTGGGATCGCGGATGCGCACTGCTGGAAAGTCCCATACTAGGACGAAACGACCGTTCAGTGCTTACCGGTTTTCAATGATGGTCTAGCCTAGATCGACCCATGAATTCAACTGTGAAAATAAATATTTTCGTTGAACTAAGCCTAGAGAAAAGATAGATGATCTTAATAAGTTAATGTAAATAGTAGCTGTTTCTAATCAGAATGCAAGAATTAACTAAAGAAAACTTAATTCTATGTTTTGAACAGAATCATTATTTCTTAAATAATTAAGAGGTAAAACTGTCATTTTAGAAATCCATTTACTGTTTTCTTGGACTGTCTTATTAATAAACCAACATTATAAAGTTAATATATAAACAGCTATATGAAACCTCAGGACATCGAACTTTATAATTAATTAGGGCTACAACATACTGATTACATTTTGAACAGAGATTAGCATATTCCAACTTGTCAGATAGATGTACCTGCATTCCAATGTTAATGTCCACAGAGACAGTGGGTTCAGAAGAAATGAAAAACGGAAAATGATACTACGTGCATAAATTACACCAAGGTACTTCAACATTAGCTAGAATAGTATGCTGAGATAGATGACGACTGGGTAACATATAATTAAACTACATCAGTCAATGAAAATCCATAAAGTCAGCAAACAATGTTAAACACTCGATAGTTCAACTTACACCTAAGCAATATTTCAAATAAATACAGATTAAGCATGATACTTTACAAACTATGCTTCATATTTATAAAGTAATGGATGTTTAGTCAGATAAATTAAGTAATCAGCTATAATACTATATTTTCAAGGATCTTAGTTTAATGAACGCATTGAAAAGCAAATACAACCACTGAAAGCGAAAAGTAAATATATACCAGTACATTAGCAAAGGATCCAAATATATATATAATTCAGTTGATGACGGATGAACGTGAAGAAGATAAATCAATACGGACGACATTAACGTGAAAAATTTGATTTTCTACAGTTTGACTGAATTCTGTCTATGGCCAAGTGTGAAATATTTCTATCTTGGGAGGTTTGAAAAACAAAAAAACATGTCAATGTTGGACTTTAACTTAAATCTTGTTTACTGAATGATTAACAAATTACGGTCTGCGGTTGGTTGACATTTCAATTACAATACCAAACAAAACGGACATGTGAAAAATACAACTACTTGTATCTAACCGTATGGCATTCTACAGACATACATAGTCTATTTTGGATGAATACGAAAAATGAGAAAGTATGTCTTTGTTTTAAGCATTATGCAGCGTAAGGAATCATCATAATAGATTTATAAAGCGAGATTTGTAGATTCGTATGGCGACTCAGGAAAATTATATTCTACCTTGTAAAAGTATTTTACGCAGACACACTACTTTTTTTCAATCCTCTCAGTAACCCGACTTTATTGATTAGTATGTTAAAATTACCAGAAAAAATGACAAGTGTGCTGGAGTTTCCTATTATGTTGTCGAAAATCAAATAATAGGTTAAGTAGGTGATTACAAAACCACTGACCATGTGGACATTTAATACTTTTTCAGAGCATCTAAATGATCGCATTTAGTAAAACTTAAATGCTGGGTTTGCAACCTATTATTTCACAGTCATAAAATCATTATTCATAAGCTCCATACAAAACCTTGAACTACGTCTAACGCAACATCAATCGTATGAAGACTGATGACTCGAACACATGACCCAATGGATTTCAGGAGTACTAGTGTTACTATGTATCTCCAAGTAGACCAATAGGATGCTGAAAATATAACTAAGTTCCTCCTTGTACATGCTGAGAAACTTCCCAGTTGGTATATGTAACATATGCTTCATAATCTCATGCAAAACTTCGTAAAAGCATACAGGTTTTGAGCATTTACATAGACTGAGCTAATGTGCAATTTGAAAACTAGGAGGTAAAAAAATTTATATATGGGTACGTGCGTTAGAAACTTAATAACAATAACTATGCAGGTGTGTAAAACCAGTTATGAGGCATTTACCACGTGAATGATAGAGCCGTTACTTGAACGTACGAATTAATCTCGGTCGGATTTTATAAACTGGCCGCGGTGAAATATCCATTTCTCAGCTAAAGGACGAATATACAACGCAGCAGTTTGTTTTAATTGTTGTCATGAAACTCGGCCCTTAAACAGATATTTTTAGGTCACTAGTATTCAGTTAAGGATGCCTTCGGACCGTTACTCGTATATGTTGGCATCATCGAGTTAGAACTTCTGACGCTCGATAAAGGATGCCAGGTGAAAATGACAGATCGATTGGTGAAGTAACCGTTATTGAGTGAGATGGTATTACGAATGTTCATTCCCCAGCCAACTCGGTGCGTGACGACAGAAGCTAGGGGCAGTCACACCAAGATATGGCATCAACCCACAAGAACCACGCAGGTAGTTGCAGACGTGGTTGAGGTCTGTTTAATCATTGTAACCAATGCTTAAACGTTGGGTAACGGCTGAAAACCGTTCTCAATAGCGCAGATCCAACGTTTATAAATTACCTGATAATCGTTTTATTTCACCAACCCATACTTTCTTAACGAATAGTATCTTCTACGACTAATCTTTCCTATTACCACTCATACTGTTACTATGTCTGCTACCCTGGGATTTGCCTTGACAATTTCATTTCACTGTGCCTATTGGGTATCACAAATAAAACCGATAAACACATGAGCCAAATTTTACGTTGCATGTGACTGGCTGCTTGACATGAGTGTTTACACTGACACAAATGAAGAGTTGTTAACTCGAGATCATAAATAGTTTAAACACCGAATAAAAGTTGATGAAACAGTATTGTCCTTAACATAACTTTAAAGTGATGTCTTCTAAAATCGCCCAACTATAGGTTTCGAGAATAAGTAGAAATGTTCATACAGTCGTAAGAATAGTTCGCAGCTTTATAAACTGTAGGTGTTATGCCTAAACCAAACTTACATTTATCTTGAAAATATTTATGCTAATGAATTCACACAGAAAAACAATCCTATCCGCATAAACGTAATAAAGGAAAATCATCATTATAGCTATATATATAAAAAGAAACAAAATAAAATTGAACAAGAAAACAAAAACAGAGAACTCGATTAAAATGCAACAGTAGTATTAATAATAGTTGTATACTTAAATTGGAGATAATTTTCTCTTTACATAATAACACATACTCTCCAATAAACAAACAAAACAAATGGGCACATCCATTTAACAACATATAGCACACATACATAAGAATACAGGGACAGACACATACAGAATATGTAAACGTTCATCTGAAGAAAACAGAACGAACGATCTCATAGAGATGAAATTAAAAATTAACTTCGTCTACATAATTTTGATCATATTTCAATGGAGAATAAGAAATAATATAAAGTAGGAATAAAAATCAACACAAAATGATAATATTTACATGAAGTTTTGATTCACATACTTTGTTGTAACACTGCATGCATTTATGTATCTGGATATTAAAGATATATTGTAACCTGGTATATATAAGGTAACATAAGTAAAGTGAGAACAGTAAGCAGTTTATTAGCTATTTTTCATAAAATAAATTAAACTTAATGATCAGTGATAGCAACTATAATAAGAAAATGCATTGAGCCACAGGTATACGCATATATATATGCACATGTATATACTTTATTAGTTAGAATGAATTCATTACCAGAATGATCTAGAGAAAATTGATTTGACGGGACTAAGACAGAAAAAAAATATGGTAACAATTAAAATCAAGAATGATGAAACCAATCAGTGTATTTGTCTTTTACAAACTGGTGAAAG